CAGAGGGGAGGCTGTCGTGTCGCGCTTGGCCAGCGGGACCCGCCGCTCCGGGAGGAATACCGCCTGTGGACCCAGGATTCAGACAGGACGTGACCCCGGAGGCGGCCGCGGGGGGATGGACAGACTGACGCGGGAGGAGCCGCAGAGCCTGGAGCAAAATTAGCGAGGGTACTTCGGGGTGATTTACAGCTTTGTTTCTCTTTCAGGCCGCGCTTCCAAAAGCTACTATATTGGATTTGTCCTGCAACAATCTAATTTCCTTGCCGGTAAGGTGCTAGAGAGCCGTTGTGGGGATGAGTCTGCTGGGGAACATTTAGACAGGCTAACTAGCTCTTCAGTAAACGTTCACTGGGAGGTTTGGACCTGGACTCTCCATCATCACGGGGTGGGTGAATAACTGCCCTGTCCGTGAGGGGTCAGCGCTGGTGGTGGTTTGGGCTGAGGCAGGAGAGGGTGAAGGGTAGCGCCGTGTGAAGATCACAGTGTCTTCCTGTCAGAGGATCCCCACGTGAGCACAGACCCGTTTCACCAGCAGTTGAGAGTCGGGCTTGGTTCTGTTGTATTGCTGCACATCACCCTGTCAGTCTGTCTGTCGTACCCACCCCACTGTTCTCCACCTCCATCTTCTGAGGCAAAGGAGGAGGGTGATATTCCTCCAGCACAGTCCTGTACTAAGTTAAGGATTTGTGGCTTATGTAGGGTGCAGGCTGTCTCCACTTAGACCTTGCTAAGATCCCTCTGTAGAGGTGCTGACAGGCTTTTCCTGGGTTGTCTTTGTGTTTGGGTTTCAGTCAGACTTCTGCAGTTTGATGCATCTGGTGAAACTGGATTTGAGTAAAAATCGGCTTCAAAAGCTGCCCTTGGACTTTGGCCGCCTGGTCAATCTGCAGCACCTGGACCTCCTGAACAACCGTTTAGTCACCCTGCCAGTCAGCTTTGCACAGCTCAAGGTAAAACTGTTTGCTAGGCAGTTACATAAAGCCTTGGGATGCAGCCCAAGGTCTTGTGATCCTTCTCAAGTTGATTTCGGTGGTAATGCATCCATCCTGCTGACTACCCATTCCAAAATTCAGCCAGCTCTGCACCACAGCTCAGGGGAGATCATCTCACATCTACTGAAAACGTCTCTGCTAGTCTTCTGTACTTGTTTTCATTCATGTGAAAACTAAGTGGTTCTTTGCTTCTGCTTGGGATGTCTTAAATAATCACAAGACTGCTGTGCTCGTACAGCCTCCCCGTTATCATTCCTTTCTGCAGAACCTGAAGTGGCTGGATCTGAAGGACAATCCCCTGGATCCTGTCCTGGCTAAAGTAGCAGGAGACTGTCTGGATGAGAAGCAGTGCAAACAGGCTGCTGTCAAGGTAAGGAATCTGCTTTTATGTTTTTTTTCCCTTACTTGGCTTTGTTGGGGGTGGTTCTTTCACTTTTTTTTGCTTAGCAAGCTGGGTGGCTGCTGCAGCAGTTGAAAGTTTCTTCAGGCAGCAAGGTGGAGGTTCACTCCACTGACTTCACAGCTTCTGTGCCTCTAGAGAGCAAACACTGGGCTGAGTGGGATTCTCTTGCATTAGTGGAGTTAAGAGAGAACTAAGAGCTGGTTGCCAAGAAAGTGGAGACATAATCAGACAAAATAATCCACATCTGGACTTACAGTCCAGAGTACAAATATCTCCAGAGAAGTTGTGGCAAACTGTGGGCTCACATCAGTGGAAATGTTTTGTGTCCTTGCTCTATTAGCTAGCACCAGTTTGCCATGTTGTGGCTGGTTTGTTGTTTTGTTGTTTTTTTTAATGGAAAGATGTGTTTTTTAACTGCCAAGATTTATGCAAGGAGGTGCGAGCTCTTTCTCTTCAGAGCTGTCCCTGTAGGGTTAGGTCATGGTGGGTGGTCAGCCCCAGCCGACTGTCCCCAGCTACACTCCAGGTTTTGAACTGACTGTGCCACAAGCCTCCTGCAGGGCCTTCAGGTTGTTTTTTTGGACATTGAAGGTACTGCAGCACATGAAAGCAATCCAGTCTGAGCAGGACCGACAGCGGCAACGGAAGCTCCAAGCAGAGCGAGGTGAGCACAAAGAGCCCTCACGGGCTGTCCCTCTTACACACCCAAACGTTCCCATTGCCATCTAACAAATTGCTGCCTGGCTGATACTTGTGACTGGAAAAATCTGCACGAGTCAGGGAGAAGCAGGGTTGAAGGGCTGGAGGGAGAAAGATAGTGGGGGATAATTATGTGATTTCTTGCCCAAATAACAGATGTTACCTAGCTTACCTATAAAAATTAGGTAAGAACAGCACAGGATTTATTTTAAGGGAAGCCTAATTCTGAGGGAAACGCAAAGTACATAATACTAAAAAAAAAAACACAAAGAAAAAAAAGAGGATAGTTATTTGATTGGTTTCCTCATTCCAGTTGGGAACAAGTAAGCAGGTAACAAGAAGGCAATGACAGCCCTTTACATAAAAACTCCCTGTTAATCCCCAGAAATGGAGAAGAAGCGTGAAGCAGAGCAGCGAGCGAAGGAGGCTCAGGAGAGGGAGCTGAGGAAGCGTGAGAAGGCGGAAGAGAAGGAGCGCAGAAGACGGGAGTACGATGCTCAGAAAGCTGCCAAACAGGAGATGGAAAAGAAACCTAAAAAAGAAACCGTGCAGACCCGAAGTAAGTGGTGCCCATTTTGGGTGGGATTGCATCAGATTACATCACATTTGGATGCTGCCAGATTGGCTTTTGTGCAGGCCAGGTACTGGGAGGTGGTGGGAGCAGGGGGGAACTTGTAGGACTTCTGTGAAGTTCTGCTGCTGTGCCCTTGCTCTCTGTGTTCCCAAGGAACTGCTGGGCTACAAGATTCAGATGGTTCTTCAGCTGTTCCTACAGAGAACTTCATTTAAGCGTTCTGAACTATGGGTGCAAAACCAGCTCTTGTGCAACGCAGTGGGGCTTTACACCCTCCTCACTACTGCTTGTGCAGCTAAATCTGCAACTTCTCATCCCAAATGAGTAGGTGCTGCACATCTCTTTATTAACTAGAGTTTGGTGACAAAAACTGATGACAAAAGATAACTGCAGCACACCCAAAAACCCCTTACCCGGGCAGGTTGTTTCTGAACGTAGGCAGTTAAGGCTATTTGGCAAGTTCCTCACTTTCTCTGGTTGCAGAGCCTGCCTCCAGCCCTCGGCCCGTGCAGCTGCCCCGGCACAGGCCCTCCTGGTCGCGGTCGGTGCTGCGGCTCCTGCTCGTCGCGCTGCTCTGCGTCCTCTGCGCCCTGGCCGCCTGCAAGCTGACGGAGCTGCGCCGGCAGCCCCTGTGCGTCAGCCTCAACACCCTCTACGAGGACGTGGTAGCTGCCCTGCAAAACCACAAAACCCTGCAAAATCTGCTACAACAGAACTCGCAGCAGTGATTGTCCTGGACGGGCACTTGCTTCGTCAGCATCTCCCTCCACCATCTACGCAGCCAGAATTCCTATGGAATTGTGTTCTGATGAAACTGCTTCTAATCAGTCAGCGTTGGGTTTGCTGGTCTACTCCACACAGAGCAGAGTTATTGTTCAGATCACCTTTGCTGTGCATGTTTCCAGTTGGCCTGTAACTCCCGTTGTTTGCCCACATTAACCTAAACTTGTTAACTCTTCTTACCTCCAAGGGGTGGTTACCTAGACTGTGAGATAACAGAATGTTGCCAGTCTGTGGGAGTAGAAAAAAACAGCCTTTGGCTATCTAGGTAGCTGTAAGCTCTGTCCTGGGGGTGGAAGGTTTTTAATACATATCCATTCCTTGCTCTCATTTCTATTTGTGCTAAAATGGGCGATGTGGCTGTACGGGAATGACACCTTAAGGCCTACTCCAGGACCAATTACAGCACGGAGGGCGGCTGTGCGGCCGTGTGCTGGAGCGAGGACGCTGATGTACAAGTGAAAGGAGCTGAAAATTTTCAATACAACAGTTTTCGCAGCAATTTGTCTGAACTGGATGTTTATGTTGCTAATGTGGTTTTAATTTTAATTAGGTCTTTTAGAAGCAGCCAAAAATGATTTCTGAATACCTACAGGAATAATTTATATCATGTTTTTCTATCTTTGCTTTTAATCTGACGATATTAATTTTAACCAGCTAGTGCCAGCGAAGCAGCTACAGCTCAGGAAGGGCTTCTGGCCTGTCTGCAGGCTGGGTTTGTGTCTGCAGCAGGAGGGGGAGGTCTGAGGCCCCTGGACCGATGGACAGACAGACAGCGTGCCTATTGAGTGCCTGTGGCCGGGTGCTAGCTGCAGTGGTGGCCCGCGGCACTGGGTGGCACTGCGGCAGGGGGAACCCCCCAAGCCTGCAAAACAGAAAAGGGCTTCGCCGCGGGGCTCTTGGGTTTGGTGGTTTGCACCTAGAGAGGAAAACTCGCCTGTGCAAAGGCCTGTGAATTATTCATTATTTCCTCACAGAGAAAGCCAAGTGGGAGTTTGTCATCTCCTGAAGGGCTTTGTAGTACTAAGGTGAAGCATGCACAGCGTTGTAAGCGCAGGTTTGAGGGACCACCTGTGCTCCAGGCTCCCTGAGACATCGAAATTGCTCCCTCTCTTCCCATACCTGGGGCTGTTCCTGTTGGAGCAGTGTGGTGAGGAAATGACCAACAGCATTTCACAAAGAGGTCACTGGCAGAGCAGTAAGCCCTCACCCGTTTGTAACCCAACAGTAAGGTGCTGGTTCCAGAGTACCACGCAGAAAAAAAGCAGCTTTAGGTTTGGTTTTGGTACCCGACTCGTCACATTCCTTGAAAAGTCCTCGCTTACTATCCAGGGAACCCCTGCAGCCAGTGTCACAGTGGGTGTCCCTTTGGCTCCAGAGGGTAACTGCCACATGTGGGATGCAGGCTAACTCACTCTCATCTCGCTAAGTGCTGCTGTCAGGAAGGGCCTTAACTGTCCATGTGTGCTCACAAGTGCTAATGGCTTCATGGACAGACGAGCATCTTCCCCAATCTAATTAAAAGGAAGCTTTTTCTGCCAACTGGTTAGCCTTCATCATTCCAGCACATATAATCAGATTTTGAGATCCTCTATAGATTAAGCCGTCTGGAGACTGAATCAGGGTAGTCTAAATTTATGTCTGAAAATTAGTCTTACCCATTCCCATCTGCCACAGAGTAAAACCAAGAGTGTTTTGTGAGGTAAAGTTGTTCCACCTCACTAGAGCAGGTGCTGGGGGGCAGCAGCATGTTGCTTTACCATGAGGATTTTGCATGCTGGGGAGGGAAGCTAACTACTTGCAGTTTAGGATAGCAGTAGAAAGTATTCCTGTCAACAGATGGCATACCTATTCAAGACAGCATGTTAAGCAATTATTATTATTCAAAATTATTTATTTTGTAGGATGACAAATAAAAGGAACTATCAGTACTATAAACTGTGCTCCATGCATGCTCCCATGAAAGATGTTCATCATCTTTCTTGCATAAACTCCAGTCATTCAGTGATTTTATCCAGCCGCCTTCTGCTAGAATAAAGTCTACATGCGTTTTAACACTTTAAACTAGAATTGATGATTCTAGTTATTATCTAAGCACTTCAGAAGGAAGCTGAATATTTACCAGTAAACCAGGCTGTTAGACAACTGAATACTTCAACTAACCAAGCAACCAACCCGTAAAATCCCCATTCCCTGGGGCTACCCAGTGAAATCCAAGTAGAGGTCAGGATCAGGGGAAGTCATCTGCAGGTAGATCCGCCGGGAGAGTTCTGGTCCGATCCGCCGGGAGGTGGCTGTCACACCCTCACCACGCTGCACGAGCATATTGGCCAGCAGCTGTTCCCGCTCCTGCTCCGAGGAGCATCTGCTGTAGGCCTAAAAGCAACACAAAGGAACAACAGTATCACCCGTTCACATCCATGGCTCAAAAAATACTCAAAGCCCTGTACCCGAGCCCACTCTACCCTCTCCTTGCACGCTCGCTTCTCACCTGGTGTCTCCCCAGATCTCCCTGGGGAGCTCTCAGGCGATGCAGAATGAACACAGCTCCCTCAGCAGACTGCTCGGCAAAGCCAAAGCGATGGGTGCTGAGGAATCTGTTCCTCCACTACCTTATTCAACAGCTTGTACAGAATCGTGTCTCATTTACTACCAATTTGATGATTTCTTCCCCTCCTTCCATTAGCTGGCTGTCTGCACACAGCACTCGGTATTCCCAAGGCGTGCTCACCTGGATCAGGAGCTGAGGAGAAGGGTATGCAGACACGATGGCCTCAGCTACCTCGAGGCTGACCCGGTTGAATTGCTGCATCTGCCTTTTCCAGACTTCAAAGAGGTGCTTTCCAGAACGATCCACCTTCACCCCTCCACACCACTTCTTCTCCAGGTAGAAAGGGAACCCCTTCTTTGCTTGCTCTCGCCTACGGAGAGGAATGGGAAAGCAAATGAGACAATGAGGCTATGGAGAACATCCTGTCCCAGCATCTGTTGTCACACAACCAAAGAGCCATTTCTCACTCTGTGCTGTTAGACACCAGTGGCAAAAGCCAAGGCTAAAAATCTGACCCTATTTTCTTTACACACATTAACAATTTCCTTGTTTAAGACCCAGATTTCCTATTGAAAAAGAAATAATCCTGTACCTGGAATCAATCCTGAAACAATCCAACGCGTGTACAAAGCATTAAACAAGAGTTCACTTTCTGACTGTCAACCAAAACAAAACACTTCTACATGCCATTTTTAACGATGTCTCATCTCTTCTTGTGGCTGAGATGTAAAACACAGCAGCTGCTGTGACAGGAATGCTAGGACTGTGTGAGACTGCACAAGGCAGTTCTCTCAGCTATCACTCTGCCACACACTGCTGTCCCTCCTTAGCAATGGGAGCAGCTAAACGGTTCTCTCTCAGCAACGTCTCTTTTGGATACACACTGAAGAAGAAAAGCTGGTGCTGTAGAAGCCCAACCCTACTCGCATTCCTTTGCCACTCCTAAAATCAGACTGAGAACAAGAGCTTTGCCTGATGACAAGCAAGACTCCAACGTGCAAGCAGGCTCTGGCCTCACCCTTGCCCGGCAAGGACCTCAGTTTCCAGGAGCTAACCCTGCACTGAAGGAGCTGCATTAGCAGCTGCTCTGTGTCACCTGCTCCTTTAAAAACCACTATACTGTGCTACACTGGAGCATTGCTGCACACCAGTTATTCCTTCCCAGTAACCATGGAAGTGCAGCCCCTCCAAAGAGATGACCAAACCTCATCTGCTTACTCACTTGAATGGTGCTTCAGCTACAGCTTTTGTGAACATAGTGACAAATTCTCCGAGCTCCTCCCAGCTCACAAAAAAGCTGACTTGGACTTGACAGTCCAGCTGTAGATCCACCAAGGCCTGTAAACATCATTGGAAACAACAAATGGAACAATTAATCTTGTTATGTCAAACCCCGCTTTCAGAAACTTTTGTTTGTCTCAAACAAAAATAGAGCTCTAACATCTTGATAGCCAGGCCAAGAGGACCCACTTGCTCTGCCCACAGAGTAACAAAGGCTGAATCCCCTCATCCAAGAAAACATGTGATTGGGTCAAATCATCAAGCGAGGGCAGACAACATGGTGGCTGCTTTAAAGGTACTCACTTCTTCCACGTGCGTTCTGGTTATCTCCAGGCCAGAATCCTTCACTTTCCATTTTCTCTGTTTTCCCTGTTCCCCTTCTTGGTTTCCACTTGCTGCTGCCTGTTGCAGACTCTTTTTTGACTGAGCTTTGCGAGACCTAAGAAAAGCAGAGACTGGGATTTCATGCTCTTCCCCAGGCATCCCCCGCCGGTCCCGGCGATGAGAGGCTAGATGGACGTTTGCTTGTGTCTATATAACAAATAATGGAGCAGTTCTTGGTGGGAAAACCTCTTATGCTCCAGTCTTTGCTAGAAGGAATTAATGTACTGGCATTTTTTCAAGGCTAGAGATAACACAGAAAAATTTGGAGGGAAAAAAAGCTTAACCTGAAATATTTTTCTACTCCAACTACTGCCAGTGCCAGAATTCTCCCAGGCATTTTCTCCAACACATGATCAACGTAGCTCCGCAGGGTCTCCTTCTGTCCCTCTGTACTGCCCTTCGCCTCCTGCAAAAATCAACAGAAAAAAGCAGTTAAACCATTCTGAGGTACCAGGAGCAACAATCTATGGCTCTGATTCTGCAGTGGGGGCTGTAGATGAAAAAGTCTCATCGCAGAGCTCCCCAGAGGCAAGCAGGCATAAAACTGTGGCAGAAAGAAATAAAAAGTAGCCCCACTTGATCTGACCATGTCACTGCTTTCAAAAATCTGTGGAAAAACGCGACTAGGAAAGAAAGCTTGTTAGAACTTTGCATTATGCCACCCTAGTGGGTTTGATCCATTAATGGCTTCTAAACCCAGATTTCTGGTTTCCCAAAACCACGGTTCCATCCCACATCAAACCCCTCCTGCCCTGAAGAGGAATGACAAACACCATCCTTAGAGCAAGGCGTGATCGATAGCACAGAAGTCATAAGCACTCTCACTTGTTTGTAGTTGTGAACCATGGACAAAAACTCCTCCAAGCGAACCAGAACCAGGATGTTTGGTTCCTCTGTCCATCCATGTCCTTCCCCCATCTGTCCAGATATGAAAACAAACAGCCAGACCAACAGTCCATTTATAACTGGCTCAAATCAGTGGTCCCACTCAGATCTCTGAGGCAGGGAGAAGATTAGAGGGTGCTTACTTGGGTTGCTAAATACAACTACTAATGAGTGCAAATAATTAAGGAAGAAAAGGGCAAAAACATTGAAATTTTGCTCACAAACCTCAACTGACACAGGCTTTCTCCTCCAGGTGATACTGCAGGGAACAGCCTGATTCTCAACCAGAGAAGAATAATTTGCATCCTGCAAAGCACTAAGGATGTATCCACCACCATCTATCTGTAAGAGAACTGAAAATGATGCACAGGTCAGACCTCCACGGAGAGAAGTCAACAGTCAGTACAAGGTAGATGCAGGCTGTGAGGACAAGTACCTGCATCTAGCACCACAGTTATGTATTTCTGGCACTCCCCTCGTCGCTGAGCTTTCAGCACCTTGGCAAGGGCCCTCTTCCTCTCTTTCTCCTGCTCCTGCTGCCTCTTCTGTGCTTCTCGCTCCTTCCTTTTCTGCCACGCAGCCTGGCAGATCACCCCCCTTTCTTTCTGACTATATTTTGACTTCTTGGGAGGGGGGGACGTTTCTGGACCTGCTTCGCTTACCGGAGACTTACTAGGCCAGTCTGAGGAGTCAGACCAAGAGACTGGCAGTGGGCACAAGGAAGGCCTCTCAGCACCAGGGGTGCCATTTTGGCTGCCACAAGACACCAGGTCTCCCTGCGGCCCTCCGCTGCTAGATGCTAACAGACCATCTCTTGCATCCCCACCACCCGGCTGTAGGCTCTCAAAAGCCGCTTCCTTCTTCATATCCACCCTCCTCTTGATCCTCTCAGACAGAGGGCCGATTTCCATCACCTCCTCCTCCTCCTCCTCCTCTTCGCTCCCACTGCTCACCACCACGACCGGCGCCGCCCCCAACTCGGGAGCGGGACATGAGGACGGACAGGGGTCTAAGTCGCCAGGCGGTGACACAGGAGACGGCGGGGACCACATCAGAGAGGCTAAAGAAGGTAACTCCTCCTCATCGCTCTCCTCAAACCCCGACTCGTCCTCCGCCATTTCGTTTTCCCCTCACGGAGAAGGGCGTGCGGCGCTCGCTTGAGGGAGGAGCCCGCTCTGCGCGGCGATTGGTCCAAACCCGCACGGAACCAATCGCCGCCGGCCCCGCCCTCCCCAGGGAGACGGCGGTAGAAGGAAAATGGCGGCGCTGCGGAGGCTGCGTGAGTGAGGGCGGGTGAAATGTCGGGAGCTCGAGGGGTCAAAGCCTCCGCTTTTCCCTCAGCGCGGTGCTGTGGAGAAACGGGCGGGTTTCAGGCCCTACGCGTTACCGCCTCGAGGGATTATTCATTCGGGAAGGGGCCTCAGATAGGCGCTGAAGGTTTCACCCCCGTCCGGCCTTGAAAAATCTGCAGGGATTTGGGGCCGCGCTTCTCCGTGCTGCTCTTTGACAGGGTGAAAAAAACACCTTTGGAAATACAGCCTTCATGTGTGTGCGCTGGGGAGAGACCCTACAGCGAGGGGTGCTGCTCACCTCGCACAGACAAATAGCCTGGAGGCTTTAAAAATGTCTTTTAAAATCTAAAAGTGTTACAGGCAGAAATATCCTCGTGTTTTCCGTGGTGGAACGTCACACTTGTGAAGTTTTCCCACTGATTTCCAACGTGACTTAAAGTTACAGGCTCTCTGTCTCAGTCTTCTCTAGATAACCATTTTTCCCCCCATATCTAATGCTTTGAGGTTAATTTTGTTGTGAGCGAACTTCTTTCATGCAATACAAAATCTAATTCCATTGGAATAGTTTTAATATAAAAATTAATCAGACTATACCTTCATTAGATTTATGTGAAACTGTCATTTGTCTTTTCCAGCTTCCCTGTGGTTTGTCAAGTCTCAGAGCTTTGCTTTTAATTAATGATTAAACTCTTGAAATTAATGGTTCTTTCAGAGCAGTTAGCCTTTTCTCAACAATATTTCTAGCTCACTGAGTGTCTGTGGTAATTTAATGAAGATTAAATTAATCCAGTGGTTTTACTCAAGTTAAGGAAACAAGAATGTTGTGACAACCGCTGTTCCATACTAATCTGCTGCTTAAGAGGCTAAAGAGGGATTCAGAAAAATTGGATTTCCCTGATAGCTGTGTGAAAGGAGGCACTGGGGAGATTTTTAAGATGGACTAATATATCTCAATCATTTTTATCAGAGATAATAAATCCATAGAGCTTTCTTGAGAAGAAAACCAGGGTGTTTTCTGTCAGTGTCTTTGGTTTACAAAGTTTGTGGCTTCAATGATGTGCATTCCGGAGACAATTGGTGCTGCTAACAACTGATTTTTTTTTTTTTCTTGAGTTGTCCTGATCCCAATTCAAGGATTTGCACAAAATCCTTCTACTAGTATGTCCAGGATAGCGATTCTGGGTATGCTGATATGTAGTCCTGAATGGATGTCTTCTTGTTTGTAAGATTTCAAGCTGTCACTGTGTGGGTAAATGACATTTGGTCGCAGGAGAAACTGAAACAGAGATCACAACCTGTCTTTTCTCAAAGCAATATAAAACCAGTCCACAGCAGCCAGTAATGTCTGGACCTCAGCTTACAAGACCTTGCTGAGACAGAAATTTGTGCGTGTCCCTTAACAGTGTGTCCTTTAACATCATTGCAGAGGATTTTTTCCCTCCCTGGGCAGCAGCAGTACTTGAGATGTGGTCTCTTTGCAGGGGTTTCAAGCCATGGTGGTCAAATTGTCGCTGATTTTTGGAATGCCTCTTGGTGAGGCCTTGGACCAGGCTGCCTAGAGAGGTGGTGGAGTCACCATCCCTGGAGGGGTTCAAAAAGAGTGTTGACGTGGCACTTTGGGGTGTGGTTTAGTGGTCATGGTAGTGTTGAGTCGATGGTTGGACTTGATGATCTCAGAAGTCTTTTCCAACCTCAATGATTTTATGATTCTAAGTGCTTTGGTTTTTTTTTTCTTCATGGCTTTGTTTTGCCTTTTGTTTTAAAGCCTGTCTTAACTGACAACCTTTAAATCTGAAAAAAAGGTAGTATTTTTCAGCTGACGTTGTTCTTGCTCCCAACCCAGTTCTGACAGCTCCGCAAACAAGCCTGGTCGCCATCAGATGTGCTTCTAAGAAAACTGGGGGCAGCACAAAAAACCTGGGTGGCCGCAGTCCTGGGAAGCGCTATGGTTTCAAAAAAGTAGAAGGTGGGTCTGAGCATCTGCCGAGCCTGGTTTGTGTTGCTTTGGGGTTTTCACAGCTTCCAAGAGAAAGAGGAGGGGAGGTTGGGTGAACCCTGGGGATAACGGTGGCTGCGGGTGGACGGCGTGACTCAGGCTCCCTCCTGACGGGCCTGTGAACCACTGACCAAAATTGCCACTAGAAAATGTACTTGGCTTCTAACATTGTGCCTGGCAGGACACCTTGATGGCAGTGTGCTCTCCCAGCAGCAGGCTGCAGAGCTGGGCATTTTCCATGGTTACAAAGGGGAAATTAAGAGGCTTAGCAGGAGCCAAAGTACAGATTCTTGCAGCTGAGTGCTTAGTAATTATTAGCTTTGCTGCTGAAAACCTGTTGATGGAAAAAGTAATAAAACAACTGCCTTCAGCAACCAGAAGAATGCCTCACACCCTAGAAGTAATCTCTTCAAAGCCCAAATTGCTTTTTGCCATTGTACGTCCCTTTCTTTCCTCCTAACAGTGCTTTTTTGTTAGATGCTTTTAGCTTTGAAGAAATTTTTTCTTAGCAAATTCCCACAGAAAGCTGCGTTTTGTAAGTGCTAGAACCGTTTGTGTCCTGCAGGGCCTCGGGGAGCTCCTTTTCTCTGCAGTCTGACTCTTGTCACTCTGTTGCAGGTGAATTTGTGCACGCAGGCAACATTTTGGCCACGCAGCGGTTGATACGCTGGCACCCGGGGGCTCACGTAAGTTGTCTTCTGTCTCTTCCTTGGCCCTTGGAGAACAGCAGCGTCACATACTCGGTGCCTCTGCTCCTTCAAGTTTGTTCTTAATGCTCTTTCCTATGCAATCCTGAAATTTGGTTTTATTACATGGTATATCTTAGTCACAGAGCCTGCTCAGAGTCGTGTCTCTGCCCCTGTGACTCGGGAAAGGTCTGAAAGTTACGGATACCCCAGAATGCTTCTGGAAGCTCCCTGGGTGCTTGTGCTCCAGAGTAGAACGGGTATCTCCTCCCTTGTAACGAGCACCATCACAAACTGGTCGCTGCAAGGAAGTAGTGAAGGTTTCTTTTATTTTAAAATACAAAGCAACAGATGCTGTTGAAGCCAAGCTATCAAACGAGGCAGACCAACAATCAGATCTGCTTTAGTGGTGGAGCTCCAGCCTTGCCTTTCTAATGCTCTTCGTCCTCTCCCAGGTGGGGATGGGCCGTAACAAGACGCTCTACGCCCTGGAGGACGGCATTGTGAGGTACACCAAAGAGGTCTACGTGCCTCCGCCCCGCAGCACCGAGAGCAGGGAAGTGATCTGCCGGCTGCCCCAGGGAGCAATTCTGTATAAATCTTTTATCAGTGTTGTCCCTACCAAGGAAGTAGGAAGCTTTAAACTGGTCACCATGCTCTGAGCCTCCTGCCTCACACAGGGATGGGCGGGAAGGAGCGGCCTGGGACAGGCCTCAGCTGGACTGACATCTGAGGACAGGAATACTCTAGCACTGAAGACACCAGTTTAAGACTTTGTTCTTGCTCCTAAAGAACACGTGGTCAGTGCCCAGGCACTGGGATCGATGCCGGCGTTTGAAAGGGTGTGTAATAAACACTGTGGGGCTGCTGAAGGTCTTGGCTGTTCTAGAATTGTTACTTGTGTTCGTGTAGTACCTGGAGCTGCCTTCCTCTGGAGAACCTGTTCTGTTGTGTCATGGGATGATCAGTACTTGTCCCACTAATAATCCCCTCTATTTTTACTCATTTGTAAACACTTAATTCAAAATACTGCAGAACAGATGTTCTTCCACTTGCACCATCCCAGGAAGCTAGATTTTACCTTCTAACTCAACAGTGACTAACTCAAATGGAATGCTTTCAGGCATTTATTAGCCACGTGAGACAATTTCACACTTCTGAAGCTACCTCGTGCTTAGTGAGTGCCTGGTAAGATGCACGAGTCTGGGGTGGTGTTTGAAGCTCAGTGGCTGGAGGTGTGTCACAAAGCCGTAATCCAGCAGACTTACCCTTCTGTCTTCCCTGAGTCATTCTGTGACATTTTAGTCCTTCTATTGCTCAAAAGGAAGGAGCCCAAAAGCCCCATGGCCAAACTGATGGTGTCTTTATCTACAGGTTTGTAAACAATTTGAAACGTTTGCTCTGCAGTAGAAAACAGGTTACCAAAATTGGTGGTATAAGGACGCTGGTGTTGATGTTACTAGATTGTCTGCTCTGCAGAAGACAACTTGGTAAAGTGCCAGCCACACACGTCCATCTTGGCTTTATGTTCTTCATGGAAATCACCAGCCATTTTGTCCACAGTTCCGTCCTTCCCACCTGGCGTATCCAGTCACAGGGTTCATCCCGGTGGTCAGTATTTGCCTGCAGCAGGGGACAGGACCCCCAGCACCTCCAGCTCTTTATCTGCAGTCCATACAAACCTCCAGCTGGTCACAGGGGACCGTTGCTGCGGCAGGACGCGGTGATGCTCTGGCACGGGTCCATCTTGCTGCCCACAGGTGAGGATTCCTGCCTGGTACCTGACACACCAATAGCGTAAAACATTTCAGAACCCCCGAAAGAGGTGGAGCAGCAGAACATGGCCCCAGCCCGAGGCCTGGCCCTCGGCACGGCAGCGGTGCTTGCCTCACAGAGGCACGACACGGCAGCTGCTGGAGGAGCTGCCGAGCAGCCCTGCACCGTGGCTTTGGCTAGAAGCAAGGAGCGGGTCCCTCGCCCCCGGCAGCGGCACGCTTGCCGCAGGAGAGCACG